GAAAAGTACTTGGCGCCGCCCAACCGCTCAAGCAAATCGTCAATGCGAGGTGGAGGCCCCACGTTCTTGATGGTTTGCGCGTTGAGGCGTCGGTCGTCAATGCAAAGTCGAAGGTCCTTGTTCTTCTTCCGAACGAAGAGAACGGGCGCACCATAAGGTGAGCTGCTAGGCCGGATCCAACCCTTGTCAAGTAGATCGTCGAGTTGCGCACGGAGAACTGTGAGCTCCTCCTCGGACATGCGATAAATGCATCACTTCGGTGGCACGGCGCCGGCCTCAAGTATGATCTCGTGAGAGATTGGCCGGTCCGGCACTATACCGGAGGGTGTCTCAAAAACATCCGAGAACTCGTCTAACAACCGGGTCACACGGGGGTCTGAAGACACATCCGTGGACGATGAATCGGTCGTCGGGACGGTTCGAAGAAAAGCGATGCCAATCTCTTCGACATGCTCGGAACGACATGTGTCTCGAAAAGATTTGGCACTCACGACTTGGCACCGAATGGAAGAGCGAGGAGGAGGAATAGTACACGGGACCTCAGCGCCAGTTGCATCACGAATCGTGAGCGTGCGTCGATGGAAATTGACCGTGTGGTCCGCGCTAGAAAGCCAAGGCATCCCCAAAGTGACATCGAAGTCGGCGTCCAACACATCAAAAGTGGCAGGTTCACATGTGTGCGGTGCAAAGTACACCGGGACAGCTCCAAGATGTAACGGTCTAAAAGTTGTTTCGTCTTACCGTCGGCAAGAGCGACCGTCGTCAGATGTGACTTCCTCCGTACTTGTGCGCCAAGGCCAGCCCGAGTCATGAAGAACTGGCTGATGAAGCTGCGAGTTGCGCCGCAAGATAGCAAAGCATTGCAAGCCGCTTGCCCAATCTGAATCCGAACGTAGAGCAACGGTGCGTTGTTTTCTTCGTACCGTTGCGAGACAAACTCGCGGGCCACCTTGGCAACATAGCCAAGCATGTCCCCTACCGCGACTTCGTCTACCGTCGGCGAAGTTGGTGGTGCATGGAAGGAAAGATACTCGTGTAAGAGGGCGCATAGTGTTGCGCTTTGCGGCCCCGGAAGGTTGCCCATCGTAGGGAGAGGAATCCAAGCGAAGTCCTCGGGCGTGAGCGGGTCCAAGACCTCCTCGTTGAACGCGCTTGCCGAATCCCTTGATGAAGACGAAGTGGCGGAGTAACCTCCGGACGATGAGAAAGCCGCACATGTATCTTGTCCTTGAGAAGCATCCAGTGAAGGAACGAGTCGGGCAGCGAAGTCTTCGAACGAAAGTGGAAAACTCCCGACATCCGCATATGCCTCGGAAGAAAGGGCGGTCGTGCGCACAACCGCTTCCGATGGCGTCGAAGGAGGTGTCGAGTCACCCTCGGCGGCGCCTTCTTTCCCTGACGGGGTTTCCCCTTGGTGGGGCAATGTGCAACATCGTGGATGGTGCTGTTGCACCAAAGGCAGTAACAATACTTGAGGCTCGTGCGATAAGAATTCGCCGAGAGTCCGTATTGTGCCCAAGGTTCGTCGGCGGCTGATCCGGTGCTTGGTGTAGAGGTGGACTGAGTCTTCGTCTTGTCGCGGCCGTGGTTGTTGCGCGGCCGGCCACCATCCCGGGCAGCTGCCAACACTTCACCCGAGAATGATCCATGACGCTGTGCTGAAAAGCTTGTCAGATGTGTCGAGTGTCTCTGCAATCTGCGTCAGCGCGTTTTGCAGAGCTGGACACGAGCGCATGATAAACAAGTGCTTGATGGCCCGGAATGCGAGCGGCAGGTCAGGTGTGGAGGCGAGTCTTTGGAACTCGGTAATCCAGTCCTGACTGAGCAGCGTGTTCTGATGGAGCTTGTTGAGCTTGTCCATCGCTTGCAGGTCGGGCGGCTCCACTTGGAATCGCTTGTGCGAGGCGTCAGTCAACTCCTGCCAAGTGATCTTGGTGTGCAGTTCCGACACTGCTACGCCGTGGCTGGTGAAGATGTTGTCCAACCATGCTTGACATGCACCACCAAATCGGTGGTACAAGCACGGATGTCGATCGTTGTTCGGGACATGGTGCATGTCGAGCCTGAGAGTAAACTGGCGCCACCACGGGATCGGTTCCGTCTTGGACTGATCACATAAAACTGGAATGTCATCCAGTTTGGGTGGGCGCCGGGAGGATGCGACGGCGGGTGTCACGGTGGCAGCAGCCTGGACCTGCGTCTCCAACTGCAAGTTCGTTGCTTGCTGCGACGTCCTGAAGTCCTGATGCACACGCTTGATATTGCTGACGTCATCCTCCA